GCACACACTCACACGCAGACCTCAACAACGTACATGTACACACACACACGCAGACCTCAACAAGGTACATGTACACACACACACACGCAGTGCTCAACAACGTACGTGCACACACACACACGCAGACCTCAACAACGTACGTGCACGCACACACACGCAGACCTCAACAATGTACATGTACACACACTCACACGCAGACCTCAACAACGTACGTGCGCACACACACACGCAGACCTCAACAACGTACATGTACACACACACACTCACACGCAGACCTCAACAACGTACGTGAGCACACACACTCACACGTAGACCTCAACAACGTACATGTACACACACACTCATACACAGACCTCAACAACGTACGTGTGCACACACACACTCAGACCTCAACAACGTACGTGTACACACACACACTCACACGCAGACCTCAACAACGTACGTGTACACACACACTCATACACAGACCTCAACAATGTAGGTGCACACACACACACACATAGACCTCAACAACGTACGTGCACACACACACTCACACGCAGACCTCAACAATTTATGTGCACACACACTCACACGCAGACCTCAACAACGTACATGTACGCACACACTCACACACAGACCTCAACAACGTACGTGCACACACACACTCACACAGAGAAGACAGGACAGGACCAAATACGCCAGAATGCTGCTGGTTCCACCTCTGGTTGGTGATGTTCTGCACAATTTTTATTATCTATATTTTTCCTATTTTTCACATTTTCTACTATATATATAATTTTTTCATAATGAAGAAAGAGTATTGACAAACCAAATCTGTGGCTCTAAAGCCATCACCTGTCACTTTATCACAAAAAAAATTTTAAAGCACACCCACTCAAAGCCAGACACCTAAATTGTCTGTGGCAGGTAGACCATCTAAGTCGACCCCAATTACAGGACATAAATACACCACCAGGCAAACGCTTAACCAGAGAGCATGGCACACACCCACATGGGCAGGACCACCAATCTGTATTTCCTTTTGTGGAAAAAGCACCAGTTAATATATGTTATTTTCTTTTTTCCTAGAAGAACATACAAGAAATTACTAGCAATGGAAAACCTTGGGGAAAGGGACTACATTCTACTTTTAAATTGACCAGTTAGAATTGTCTTATGTATATCTTTTACCCTTTTTAGGGAAAAAAAAAAAATCAATGAGCCTATATAAAAGGATTAAGAATAATATTTCATTCCTAAACTTATCAAAATCTAAAAATACTTTCTTACAGATTTAAAAAGACATTTCTCATCTCATTCATTTATCACACAGAGAAGAACTAAGTCTACAAAAAAAATCATGTATGTGGGCAAATATAAAATAAATAAACACCTTAGGCAAAAGCACACAAGCCTCCTGGGGGACAGTGACATTATATTATGTTTTCACTAGAGGGATTTCTGTTTCAGACGGTGTAAATCTGCTCTGCCTGGTTCCAAAACTGTATACTTCTGAACTTTATCTTTCAAAAGATTTGTTACTTGGTGCACCAATTGGTGGTCACGGACACTAATTGTTTTTTCAGCAAAAACTTTCCCACACAAATAAAGATGTAAAACATGCTCTTGATTTTTACTTTATTTTATGACACAGTCTCACTTTGTCACCCTCAGTAGAGTGTCCTGGCATTATAGCTCATAGCAACCTCAAATTCCTAGGCTCAAGCAATCCTCCTGTCTCAGCCTCCCAAGTAGCTGGAACTACAGGCACCCTCCTTAATGCCCAGCTATTTTTTTTCCCCCACTTAGCAGGCCTGGGCCGAGTTTGAACCCACCAGCCCCAGAGTATGTGGCTGGCACCCTAACTGCTAAGCTATAGGCACATAACCAAAACCTGTTCTTTAGTAAAAGTCACTGAAACTGTGTAACTGACATAAAAACTGTGACATAAAAATAAAACTAGCAAGCCTGGGGTTACTTTAACTGAGTAAAGTCACAAATTTACAAGTTGGAGAAAGGAAATAAAATAGAATAAAGGAATAATGCATTTACAATATACAAACACAAGCTAATATTTGCAGTGGCTCAAATCCCTGTCCTGGCATTCAGGAAACAAGGCAAGGAAGGGCCTCATCCCTCTCCCGGCATCTATGGCTTCCTGTGTAAGGCATTTCTTATGCTAGAGCTTTTTTAAAAACTAAATTTGAAAATTGACTTTGCTAGAATTTATCCTTAGAATGGATTCCACATGTTTGAATTTTATATTTACTTAACCACTGTGCTTGTATTTGACAACTACACCTCTAATCCTGAACATAGATGTCAGGGAAGCACAGACTATTAAATATTTAGGAGAGGCAGGAAGTCCAGCCTCAGCTCATCCATCTGTGTCAATCAAGCTCTGTGTCCCTGAGCAGATGGGCCTGCCCGTGCCCGCCCGTGCCCGCCAGCGCCTGCAGCAGCACCTGGGGGAGGGGAGGAGCTTAGCTGCTGCAGAGTTGGTGCACAAAGGGAAGCGCCTCCCAGACCCAGCTGCTTCTGTTCTCTGGAACATGACAGATTACACCCTATTCAACAAGCCCGGCCATTTCAAATGGTCCAGTGATGAGGAGTTAAGCAAAAGTTTGAAAAATACCCAGGGAAAAATATTTAGCCCTAGCTAATTTTCTTAAGGACTTTAGGCCCAAATGAGCCCTCCATTTCACATATAAAATGGCTGTGTTCTAAATAATACATACATATATGAGATATATATATATGTAAAATAATGTACAATCATGTTTCATAAACGATTGATTCAACACAACACCAGGTACCACACAACCAGCACCACCAGGCACCATATGTAAGGGAGGTGATGCTCCAAGGATTTAAGCCACTTGCTTAAAATCACAGGGGAAAAAAACCAAACTTACTAACATCTAAAAAGCAGTGCATGTAGGGGCATTACCCTAACATTCTCTCAGGGAAAAAAGTAAGAATAATATCTTCAGAGCAAGCAATACTCTCATATACATCACAGTCTGTGCAGCAATCAAAGGCTATGGAAGTGGGCACTTTGGAGCAAGGGTCATGTCTAGCCAGCTCCTCTCTGGCTTCCTATCCTGACCACAAAATCAGGTGCTGATGATACAGATTACTAAAGTATTACTGTGAATCGATGTTATTCCACAGACTCAATGTTTAAGAAACCCTTGTGAGTGAAGCTCACATTGCTTCACTTTAGCAAAATATACAACATCCAGAAACTGGGAACTTTCTAATCTACCTTTTGTGGAGCCTAATGGGGAGGCCTTTAATGCTGAAGAGTTTCCCATTAGCTCAGGGATAAATAAATCAAGACTCATCTATGAGAATTCTGGTAACTAGCAAATGTTTCAAATTTTTAGAGATACTCCTGACTAGGGTACTAAAGATTTGATAGCCATTTGCCTTCACAATCAACCACTTCATGAGAAGAAATGAAAGTATTCTTCAGCTATTAGGTAACATTTCCTCAACTTCAAAATCGGCACTGAATTCTTATCATGCAAGTATTTAACAGTACTATATATTTTTTTTTTGAGACAGAGCCTCAAGCTATCCCCCTGGGTAGAGTGTCATGGCTTCACTGCTCACAGCAACCTCCAACTCCTGGGCTCAAGTGAATCTCCTGCCTCAGCCTCCCAAGTAGCTGGGACCACGGGCGTCCGCCACAACGCCCGGCTATTTTTTGGTTGCAGCAATTATTGTTGTTTGGCAGGCCCGGGCTAAATTCGAACCTGCCACCTTAGGTGTACGTGGCTGGCACCTTAGCCGCTTGAGCCACAGGCGCCGAGCCAGTACTATATTTTTGAGGATGAAAAAAGTGATTGAATCAAAGAGTGATTTTTATGTAAGATATTTAATACCATGTAAATAAACACACTTTGTGCTTTGGGACACTTTAATAATGAACCTTCAAACAATTTGCTTTTACCTTCATTGCCTTGACAGAAATCTTTTTTTTTTTTTTTT